GAGATCACAGATGGCCTGCCCTTTTACTGACTTCTGTTGTTTAAAATGTAAGTCGTATTGGGACAAGAGTAAGGCCCATTTTGCTAATCGCCAGCTCATGGAAGCTGGTTGAGTCATGAATACTCGAACCAGATTAACTTTAGAGATGACATAAATGGTCTGCCCGACCAGATAATGCCGCATCTTCTGAATAGCGAACACCAAGGCGAGGCATTCTCTCTCAATCATAGGATATCGAGATTCGGCGCCTACCATGGTTCGGCTCAAATAATACACTGCCTGCTCGTGACCGTTATCGTCATCTTGTGCAAGTAATGCACTTAATGAGTGGCTCGTCGCCTTGACATAAATCAAGAACGGTTTGCCCGATTTCGGTGCAACGAGTACAGGAGGTTTCGAGAGATATTCTTTAATACTCTCGAATACCTTTTGACAAGCGTCATCCCATACAAAAGACACGCCCTTCTTTGTGAGCTTGGAGAATGGTTGGCATTTTCCTGAGAGGTTCGAGATGAACCGACGAATATAAGCTAATCGCTCTTGCAATCCTCTGAGCTCCTTGAGGTTTCTCGGAGGCTGCAATTCATTAATCGCCTTTACCTTATCAGGATCGATGTGAATACCTTTGGTGGTGACGACGAATCCCAGGAATTTACCACTAGACATTCCGAGGAAAGACTTGGTAGGATTCATCTTCAATTGATGGGCTCGCATCAAGTCGAACATGGTCTTCAAGTCCTTAATGTGATCTTTTTTATCACGACTTTTCACGACCAAATCATCTACGTAGCATTCGACAGTCTTTCGGAGATGCTCATAAAAGATCTTTGACATGGCTCGCTGATATGTAGCACCTGCATTCTTTAAGCCAAAGGGCATAACTGTGTAGCAGAAGACGCCAAGAGGCGTTCTAAATGCGGTATGCTTTTCATCGTCTGGATGCATCTTTATTTGGTTATAACCAGAGAAACCATCCATGAAAGACATCCTCTCGAACCCGTACATATTGTCAATGATAACATCCGTGATGGGAAGGGGAAAATCATCTTTTGGGCAAGCAGCGTTGAGGTCTCTAAAGTCAATACAAATCCTGATCTTCCCGTTCTTCTTAAGGACTGGGACAATATTGGCGAGCCACTCCGGATGCTGCTCTTCCCGAACGAAGCCCGAGTCAATAAGCTTCTCAGCTTCGATCGCCTCCATCATTTGCGGACGAAACCGTCTTTGTTGTTATTTGACAGGTTTGACATCCGTCTTGATATTGAGACGATGCACTGCTACATTTGGATCGAGCCCTGGCATGTCTTCATAATTCCAGGCGAACACATCGATGTACTCCCTGATAAGAGAGATCAACTCTTCTTTCTCTTCGGGTAGGAGACTGTCGCTAATGAATATCGGCTTCGGATTTTCCTCACTTCCCATATTCACTTGGACTACTTGATCTTCGGTAGGAGGTTCTCTTTGTTCGAACCTATCACCATACTGCATGTTTAGGTGATGAACCCAAGGATCTTCCCATGTCGGCATCTGGTCGTCTTCCTCTATTGTGGTAGGATCGACCGTGACCATGTTCGACATTAACTTTTTGAACATCTCACCGATACTAGTGTCGGAATCCCAAGCTGAGGAATCAGATGAGCATCCGTTTCTATCTTTGTTAGCAATTTGATCGATGACTTGCCAGCAACATTCATCGTCAGATGAGGAGACATAACCAAGACCTGGTGGTCCGTTTGTTAAATCGGCATCGAGCTGTGCTAAGGGACCTATAGGCAATTTTATACGCCTACAATATGCAGGGGGAGCGTGGCTTCTATTTTATTGTTTTCCCTTTTTGATGTTGTCAAAGGGGGAGAAAATCTTATGTGGTTTATTGGTTTATTCATATATGTTTATGTGGCTATGATTATGTGTTTAATGTTGATGAAAGATATGTTTTTCTCAGTTCATTATGTATGTGGTCATATGTGGTTTGTTCACATGTAACTACTTAATCTATTTCCATCTTTCATCATTCATATTAAAGTTCATATCAATAAATAAATTGTTTGCCATCATCAAAAAGAGGGAGATTGTTGGCCCTTTGGTTTTGATGATGATTTGTCAAACAATTTATATATAATCTATTTTCTAGTCTTTGTGTTTATCTTTACAGGTAGTTCAACACACGTCAATCAAGTGTTAAAGATTCAAGTTCATATGCGTGGAGTTACCTAGGTATTAGTTTAGTTTACTTACATATATTGTATTATATATACATATTTACAAGCCTTATGTTAATTTTCATGTTTACGAAAAATAGGTTTTCTGAACACTTTTAAAAAACAGGGAGTTTTCACAAACAAAAATTAATTTTCCAAAAATTCCTTTTCAAATATGTTTATTTTATCATTTAGAAACTTTTCCCAAAGTTTCACTATTTTTGGATTTAATTTGATATTTTTAATGAATTTTCAAAACAGCCCTAAAACCTGTCAATATGCCATATATCAGATTTTGATCGACCGGTGCGATCGACCGCCAGTTGAATTTTTCTAAGCTCATTTGTTTTGTGCTCATGGTCGACCGCACCGGTCGACCGAGAAAACATCCAGAGACTTTTCTGGTCGACCGCCAGCTTTGATTTTTCATTCTCTGTGCTTTTGAGCTTCGCGGTCGACCGGACCGGTTGACCGCCGAACTGTTAGAACTTTTACAACGGCTAGTTTTTACAGTTGGTTTCAAATTGGGTTTTTGGTCTTTTACTTATGTTTTTGCTGTTGTATTGGGGTGCTATATATACCCCATTGCTGCTCTCCTTCTATACATCCAAGAAATCCAAGTTTTGTGTTTAACAAAACCCTAAGTGTGTTTAAGAGCTGTTTAAAGTTGATTTCATCAATCTGTTTTCAAGAGAAGTTTTTCTAAAACAAGAAGTAGCCTTCAAATCCTATTGGGATCATCATCTACTGTTCTTCTTGTTTGAGAAGTCTTCTAAACTCTTATATAGCTTGTTATTTCATTTTCATTTTATTTAGCTATATTTATTGAGTTTCATTCACTATTATCACACACACTTATTGAGCTTGATATTTTCATACCATATAGTGTGGGTTGTGGGGTGTGATTTAGTGAGTGTGAGGTTCATTGTGTTCTCACTTGTTATTTGAGAACAAATCATTGTATTTAACTTTTATTTGTGAGAATCACTTGTAATACACTTGTACACCGAGAGAAGTGTGAGGCGAGAGACGGGGTCGAATCCAATAGGAGTGGCGTCGATTGACGAACCTAGGGAGAGGTTGTAATCGAGTACTTGAGGAGGAGGACACGGGCTAGGTTCCTACACTTAGTGTGTAAAGTGTGATTACATAGTATTTTTGTGTAGTGTGAGAGTTTTCGGTGATCTTGTAAACCGAGTGTATAGAAGTTCCGGCTTCCAAACCGGATTGTGATAGTGGATATCTCCTCGAGGTGAGAAGAGGGGACGTAGGTCGTGGTGACCGAACCTCGTAAACATATCGTGTGTTTGTGTTTTGCTTAACGTATTTTTTATTCATCATTATTGTTCATATCCATATCATATTTCTTCTTGCAAGAACAAATTGATCAACATAATTTTAATTAGCTTTTAATTGGGATTAGATTAGCATAAGACCCTAATCACCCCCCCTCTAGGGTCTAACATCTTCACCAAGTACGGGGAATTAGGGCTTCCCCTTCATGAGATGATGAAGGTGTCAGGGCTACCGATAGGGAACATTCCGTATCAAGAATATTTTCCTTCCAACCGTCAACTTCAGCGGATGAAGAGAATGGGTCCCATGGTTCACGATATTCTTTGGGAATTGACTTGCCATTATCAAACAGCGATAGCAAGAATTAAAGTGAAGAGCAAGAAAGCTGCTCAAGTCAGTCTAAAGCAATTCGCTGATTACTTATTCCAGAACCTTGAGAGTTTGACTGGTGAAGCAGTTTGTGAATCGCCTACGCTAACTCATTCTGATGTTAACAAGCTGATCGTGAAGATCGATGCTCAATCTTACATAATTGGATTATCTGAAGGTGGTTTCCCAAGTGGTACGAAATTCAGAACTTTCTTATGGCAAGCCACGAAGAGGATGAAACCTGAGACTCTTCTCGCTGGCTATTTAGCCATATGGTTAAAGAAGTGTGTAGTACCACACCAGTCTTCGGATGCTCTCCCGCTTGAAGTTTTGTTTCCTGCCGTTCAATTGGCTGTCGGAGGTGAACTATCTTTGCTCTCATCCATGATTGCCGACATCCATAGCGGCCTGCGCAACTTAGCCAAAACCTTCACAAAAGTGGATGCCTAGCCTTCAAGTAAAATTCCTATGTCAAGTGTTGAACTACCCTACACCTATTTAATGGCGTGGTTGGTCCTCCACCGAACCGACATGATGTCAGCTCCTGACGTATCTGATCCAGAAATTCCTCTGCTGCAGCTTTTAGAGGGGTGTAAATGGTTGAGTCCTTCCCGACAATAGTCTGATATAGTGGGATAGTTCAAGAACACTAAATGTTGGGGGTTTTATAAATGTTTCCCTCGATTTTCTAGCGCCTATAACAACCTGCTCATTGATGAGGAAATGCCTGAGACTAGTAGGACTTCTCTCAACATGGGCGGCTTTCATTGGCTTATGAACATTCGATCAGGTTACAATATTTTCCGGTCAAGAAATATTTGTAGAATCGAACCCTACCTTCCTTGCCAATTTGCGGGACAGTTTGGCTATGATCAACTATACGTCGGGAACCCAAACTAATGGCTAACAACCTGCGGAGGTCTTATCGATGGAGTGCGAGCTTGGTTTTGGAATGTTATCGGCTGTACTGAAGCTCAATTTAGCTTACCCGTTGCTGAGCCCGAGCTTCATACAACTTTTCTTTATTGTCGATGGCTCGTAGCTGCTAATGTACCCCTAAAGAAGAGGAGTATTTCTGAATTAGAAGCCGAAGCTGCTTCTCGGCTTACTATCGGGGTGACCCGTAGGACTATGACTTCCATGGGTGGAAAAAGAGCTACTACATCCTCTCGCAAAGGAAAACAAGTGGCAGATTCCGATGAAAGTGATGAATTTGAGATGTCTAATGAGGAAGATGATACTGAAAATGAAGCTGAGGCTGACACCCCTCATTCTCCTGTAGCCCGCAGGACTCGTCGTGCTTCTTCACCTAAATCACCAAGTGCCCCCTCAAAGCCAGTACAAATGATGGAGAAAACCATTCCTTTGTCATCTTCCAATAAGATGACTGTCAAATGGCCTATTCGGGAAGAAAGCGAAGAAGAGGAGGAAGATGTCACACCGCTCATTAGCAGAAAGAGATCCCGATCTCCTACTTCTTCCGAGGCTCAACCCTACCCTTCTCAAGGAATTGAACTACGCACGAAATTTCATCATGAGAGTTCTGAGGTTCCAAGAGATACTCGTCTATTGAAGAGGATTAAGAAGACTGCCCATCGATAACGTAAACTCCCCCCTTTATCTAAAGAGGAGTTTACCCAGGACCTTCCGGTTGACGAAGGAGGTAAAATTTCATTCTCATCAATCTTTCATTATTTTATTTTTGAATATAAAATCTTATTTATTCTTTTTCTGTCGTAGGTGGGCAAGAAGAAGTAGGAGAAATTATGCCCGAACCCTCCTCCCTTAGTTTAATGGACGTTGATGAATCAAGTTTCACTCAACAGGTGCATAGAGCGATGAGTGAAGAACCCGTCGGTATAGACACCGTTATTCCTCTTGTCACTACATCGACCCTGTAGACCACCGACACAGGTACAAATATTTTCTCATTTGGAGGGCAATTCCGAGAAATAAGTGAATCGAAACATGTTCCTCTTCTACTAACATGTGCGCTTTATCTTCTTTTAGTTAAACTAAAGGAGGTAGGTGCGAGTAGTAGCGCTGCTGATCCCGCAACTGTCGTTGAAGGTAACTTTAGTTTTATTCGCTTTGGTTCCTTTATACTTCTACGTATGTAATGATGAGTCTTTCTGTCTTGTAGATATTCCTATAGATGAGCCAGGAGAACAGGAAATTAGTCACGACGTGGAGATCGACGACTTTAATGAACATAGTTTCAATCTCAATTTCTCTGAAGATGACCATCAACGTATTTCCGATCTGCTGTCAGACCAAGCTCCGACTGTTACTGCAGGACCAACTACTAGAGTTGGTTCCACTGAAGTAGATACATCAGAAGGTATGTGTAGGCGTTAAAAATTGCCCATAGGTCCTCAAACACAGTGCAAGACAAGGAAAAGACGATAAACGTTATTATCCAAGTCAAAGGAATTCATCCAAAATCAGCAAGGCGACGAAGCGTACGCAAAACAAAGAAGCTGGAAGAATCACGAAACATTGCTTAGAAGCTTGAACAGTGCCGAGTCACCAAATGCTGACTCGCACAGTTCCGAGTCACCAGAAGCTGACTCGCACATTTCCGAGTCACCAGAAGCTGACTCACATAGTTCCGAGTCACCAGAAGCTGACTTGCATAGTCCCGAGTCACCAGGACTCTTGTTGGATACAAAACCTCCCCAAACATGGATTTCGATGATTTTTAAGGATTCTTTCGTCCCAAAACCTCTCCAACTGCTCTGAGGTTATCCATAAACACGTTTAGACAGTTATAAACCGCAGATAATGTTTAAACATCAATTCCTACTAGGAGACACATCTCAAAAAGCCTATAAATAGAAGCCTAAGGTCTTCTTTCAAGGGGATCGGAGATCTGAGATTAAGAAGGCGAGGTGCTGTCAAATTGACCAGTCAACCACGAATTTCAGAGGAGAATCATCAGAGCTTGGCGAACACTTTCATAAAGAAAGCCCCTTCGAAAGGTTTGTGATTCTCTTCCCTTATTTCCTCCGGATTAAACTTGGTTTTAATCTCGAGAAGAGCCACAATCTCGCTTGGTCGTGATTGTCGCTTCCGCAATTGTTTCCCTCGTGAAACAAGAGCGTAATTATATTGTCGATCGGCTTTGGTCTGCGGTGGTCCACGGACTAACGCGTCCCCGGCACAGGCAAAGATCCCACGCAAAGCAGCGGGAGATAAACTACTGCTGCGTTTTGTTTGATAAAGTTGTAATCTTTATTTTTCGTTGTAAGAAGATCTTATAAAAAGATCAACTCTCTTTTCAGTTTGAACTTGTAATCGATAAACGGTGTAACAGGTTTGAAAACAATGGAAAAGACAACTTTTGACACAAACAAACTGGCGACCACAGTGGGAGCCGACAGCTTTTCTGCAAAAGCTGTAGTGTCGCAACCAAAGATCGTCATACCGATCAACGAGGAGGTCGAGTACGAGTTCGACCAAGCAAAATATGAAGAGTACTTATCCTCCTCTTCCCGATCATCCTCCCCTCGTAGGAATAGGAGAAACTCCACAAGGAAAGGTCGAGGACATTTGGATTTGAAGGTTCAAAATCAAGAACCTCATCCCGCAGCGGTTCAAAAGACTCCTTGTGAAGCTGAAGCTACCAAGGCCGAACCAACTTTATCCAAGAGGGCGCGTCAAAGACGGCGTCAACGCCTAGCACGCCAATTGGCCAAGGCCTCAGAGCCGGTGGATGGAATCCGCTACGAAGCGGATCTGAAGTCTAGAGGACGCCAACAGGTTCATCTCTGTCTGCAGAAATTTCGCCTCCTGCGACCAGCTTTAAGTCTCCGACAGCTCCTGCTTTTGTTCCAATGACTTCCTCACCTCCTGTAAAACCCCACGGCGGCGTGGACTCATCCCGAGTTAAAATGAGCATTATGGATCGTCTCGGCCCTTTGCATAAAAATAAACCCCGCCTGATTTGTCAGAATGGGGGTCGGGAGAGAGTCTCCAGTAACTCAAAAATCCCTCATACAGAGAAAGTACCAGTAACCGCTCGCCTTGGGCTATGAGTAGAAGTTCGAGATTCTGTTGAACCCTCACGCGCGCGGAGGCGAGTTTTCAAGCGAGCAACTCTTGAAAATAATGACGGAGCGATATATCCTCAAAGAGAGTTTTATTCGTCAGAAGAAGACGTAACCGCTCGCCTTGGGCTATGAGTAGAAGTTCGAGATTCTGTTGAACCCTCACGCGCGCGGAGGCGAGTTTTCAAGCGAGCGACTCTTGAAAATAATGACGGAGCGATATATCCTCAAAGAGAGTTTTATTCGTCAGAAGAAGACGATGTTAGAATAAGAGGGTTATGCCAACACAAGATAGGTGGCTCCGATAATAATATCGATGAGCTGTACTATCAGACTGAGATAGGTGGCTCCGATAATAATATCGATGAGCTGTACTATCAGACTGGGGGTATGAGTAAATCTCGGAAGAGAAACTCCCGAGAAAGGGATTCTCGTTGTCCTTGTACTAAACTCATCAAGGCAGTATTAGCAGAGTGTAACTGTTCCAAGACTGCCTCGCAAAGGATTTCAGTGTTTGAAAGACTTTCTACAGAAACGGAGAGAAACAAATCAAGACATTTCCGTAAAAGAAAGCCACCCGTTCGGGAACGTGAACTCTCGGAATTCACAATTAATATGGCAGAAAAAGGAAAGTCCACGCGGCGCTACAACCCTGAGCCCTTTTCACAAATGTCCAAACGGTTAACTCGGCTGCAAACCGGGGCTATAAGGCCTAGGGATTACAATTACAACAGGATCCAGAGAAGACAATCCTCAGACGAAGAAGCGTCGGATGCTAACTCAGCGATTGCTTCAGATGCTACTGTATCCAGTACAGGACAGTCTCGAGAGTCGTTCATGATCACCACAGAACAGATGGCTCAACTTCTTCAAGAAGCTTTGGCCAAGCAAAAAGAGGATTTCAAAATTGAAATGGAGATGGCTGTACAACGTGTTAAAGATTTACACGCACAACAACTCCAACAGCTGACAAACCAGCGCGGTGAATCTAGTCGTCGTCCGACCGCTAATCAGATAGATAGCGACTCAGAGGTAGAAGAAAATCTTAACATCGAGACTCCCCGCGAGAACAGGAATACGGAAGGCGTTCTTAACGCTGGGGGTGGTATCAATATCCATCCCCAAAATCGCCAGAAGAGTGAGGTAGGCGAAGATCTTAAGATGAAAGACTTGGAAAGCAAAATCAATGCTTTGATGTCTGCCCAAGAAGTAAAAAAGACTGGCATTCCGTGTCCCTACCCGAGGGAGTGGGACTCCATTCCATACCCACCGAAGTTCAATTTGATCAACTTCACACCATTCGATGGAAGGGGCTCCCCTACCCAACACTTGATTTATTTCAAGTCTCACCTGGGGATCATTTCAGGTAACGAACCTCTAATGGTACGATCGGGGGATCATTTCAGGTAACGAACCTCTGATGATACGATCATTCGTAGGAACCCTTCGCGCTGCTGCGTTTGATTGGTACCGCCGGCTTAAACCGGGAAGTATCACTACATGGGACGATATGGAAAGCATGTTTCTCGCTAATTTCTTTGACGATGACACGGAGGTGTCAATCGGGACGCTCTTTGAAGAAAAGCAGAAGGATGGAGAACTCGTGGAAAACTTTGTTAAACGCTTCCGGAACAAGGCAATGAACTGCCGAGATCCGGTCACGGAGGAGTTCATACTCCAGACGTGCCATAATAATCTTTCCATAGATGTATTAGAAGCTATGGGTACCGCACCATCCAAGACATGGAAGGAATTAAAGGTACGCGGTGAACAAGCCGAACGCTTCCTCCGAAGGAAGAAGGCCGAGAGGAACCTACCAACGGCTAATCCTCTGAACTCAAACTTTGCTTCTCGTGGTAAGGGCAAGGCACCTGCAGCTGCTGATGGTGCTAACCAGACGTCGCAAAAGCAACTCCGAAAACAGCAAAAGACTTCGGGTCCGAGACTCCAAAAAGAGTACTCTTTCAAGGACGAAGACGTTCCAGCCATCTTCAAATCTCTCCTTGAAAGTAACAAGATCAAGCTACCACCTATCACAAATCAGGAGGAAGCTGACAACACGACGGATCCAAAGTACTGTGCATACCACAGGAGGGTCCTTCATCCCACCAAAGATTGCTTTACTCTCAAAAATAGCATTCAGACCTTGGTCGAAGCCGGCGTCATAACACTAAAATAAGCCAAATAAGAATCTTAAGACTCCAAAGAGTATACGAGTATAAACTGTTTCTCAATCCTCCAATAGGTGCAAGAGGTTAAACTGCTCCCTGCATACTCCAACAGGTATATGAGTCTAAACTGTTTCCTTTCTTTCACGGGAAGTTCCTGGAGAATACCATGCTTGATATTCTTAAGGATAACCCGGACACCCAACTGAGTATAATACCATACCCAGTTTTGCAAAGGAAGCTGGGGGTGGATGATTCATGTAACGGGAAGTTCCCAAAAGAAATCCATATAGTGTATTCTTAGGGATAATCCGGTCACCACAGCAAGATGATGAATAAGAAACTCCCTTTCAAATTCTCACCGCGTCTGTGCACTCAACACTCTCATTGTTAGAGTCTGGACATAATATTCGGAATTGGTCAAACCTTTCTACAGTTAGGACCAAAACCAAAACCCCTCTCGATTCCCCCAATGAACGAGAGGTCCACAAATCGAGCGATCAAACCTTCCTACAGTTAGGATCGTCTCAAACCTCCCAATTGGTCAAACCTTCTTACAGTTAGGACCACAGTCAAAATCCCCTCTCGATTCCTCCAATGAACGAGAGGTCCACTTTCAAATCGAGTGATCAAACCTTCCTACAGTTAGGGTCATCTCAAACTCCTGCTTGGTCAAACCTTCCTACAGTTAGGACCAAAACCACAATACAAAAAGACACCAGAGTTTGATTCTGGGGTATTCTATCCTGAAACCTAAGCAAGGATAAGTCTGCGCCTGACACGCGCTGCCGGTCAGTTCTTAACCGTTTAAAAAGAACACCCGTTCATATATTCAACATTGTGACAGGTTGTTATTAATAACACCAGAATCCATGCCTTACACGCATGGGGAATTTCATCCTGAATCCTAAGAAAGGATATGCCGACGCCTAACACGCGTCGCCGGTTTAGTCTTTCTCCGAAGAAAAAGACACCAGAGTTCGATTCTGGGGAATTTTATCCCGAAGCCTAAGTAGGGATAAGTCAGCGTCTAAAACACGTTGCTGGGTAGCCTATTCCCATAACAATGGCGAAGTCTACATATTCGAAGTTGTAGCATCAAGTCTAAGGGAGTTCATTCCTTTAGCACAACGTCACATGCGGAACGGATTTAGACAATCCGCATGCTAGCCCGACTCAAACGGTGGTCGGTAAAGGCTCATCAAACCCGTTGATGGCTGAGGGTTTGCCAAAAATCCTATAAATACGAGAGTTACTGACGCATCAGCTTCATTAGTTGGTCTCGTGACTTGAGCATCGAATGACATTCGAAACCCTAGGGTCAACGTCGGACAACGCGTAACCCTAGGTCAACGCCGATCAAATGCGTTGCAATCAATACTCCAAAGAGTATACGAGTATAAACTGCTTCTTAAAACTCCAATGGGTATATGAGTTTAAACTGTTTCCCACCCTCGACGGGAAGTTTCTGGAGAATATCGTATACAATATTCTTAAGGATAACCCGGCGACCTCCGATAAGTATATGAGGCTAAACTAACTTTCAGAACTCCCAAGAGTATACGAGTATAAACTGGTCCTCTCTGCTTCAAATGCATGACTTTTGGTCAACGTCTGTCAAGGCGTCACCAGATGGGAATTCCCCAACAACGAGGGTCAACTCAACGTTAAATCAGCGACGCCGTTTAGTTTCAAGATTTCAACAGCGGTCAGACGATAAACGCAGAACCGTAAAAACTTTCATCTATTCGACAGAACTCTGAATAGATTGAGGGCTGAAGGAGTCAAGAAATGAAACCCATGACAGGTCCTTCTGCAAATATAGCCTATCATATCCAAAGTATTTCAGGCTCTTCTATAAAAGAAACGAGACTGAAACACTTTGGAGGGGGTATCTGTAGGCGTTAAAAATTGCCCATAGGTCCTCAAACACAGTGCAAGACAAGGAAAAGACGATAAACGTTATTATCCAAGTCAAAGGAATTCATCCAAAATCAGCAAGGCGACGAAGCGTACGCAAAACAAAGAAGCTGGAAGAATCACGAAACATTGCTTAGAAGCTTGCACAGTTCCGAGTCACCAGAAGCTGACTCGCACAGTTCCGAGTCACCAAAAGCTGACTCGCACAGTTCCAAGTCACTAGAAGCTGACTCGCACAGTTCCGAGTCACCAGAAGCTGACTCGCACAGTTCCGAGTCACCAAAAGCTGACTCGCACAGTTCCGAGTCACCAAAAGCTGACTCGCACATTTCCGAGTCACCAGAAGCTGACTCACATAGTTCCGAGTCACCAGAAGCTGACTCGCACAGTCCCGAGTCACCAGGACTCTTGTTGGATACAAAACCTCCCCAAACACGGATTTCGATGATTTTTAAGGATTCTTTCGTCCCAAAACCTCTCCAACTGCTCTGAGGTTATCCATAAATACGTTTAGACAGTTATAAACCGCAGATAACGTTTAAACATCAATTCCTACTAGGAGACACATCTCAAAAAGCCTATAAATAGAAGCCTAAGGTCTTCTTTCAAATTGAGAAGGCGAGCTGCTGTCAAATTGACCAGTCAACCACGAATTTCAGAGGAGAATCATCAGAGCTTGGCGAACACTTTCATAAAGAAAGCCCCCTTCGAAAGGTTTGTGATTCTCTTCCCTTCTTTCCTCCGGATTAAACTTGGTTTTAATCTCGAGAAGAGCCACAATCTCGCTTGGTCGTGATTGTCGCTTCCGCAATTGTTTCCTTCGTGAAACAAGAGCGTAATTATATTGTCGATCGGCTTTGGTCTGCGGTGGTCCACGGACTAACGCGTTCCCGGCACAGGCAAAGATCCCACGCAAAGCAGCGGGAGATAAACTACTGCTGCGTTTTGTTTGATAAAGTTGTAATCTTTATTTTTTCGTTGTGAGAAGATCTTATAAAAAGATCAACTCTCTTTTCAGTTTGAACTTGTAATCGATAAACGGTGTAACAGGTTTGAAAACAATGGAAAAGGCAACTTTTGACACAAACAGTATGTACTTTCGAACTTAGGTCTTCAATTAACCTCTTGTTTCTCATTTTAATAATTAAATAAGAACTTTAGTCGTAGGACCAACGATTGAGGTTGATGCGTCTACTATCATTGGTGCATCCGATTAACCTGAAGGCCTAGGTTTCCTGCTTTTGACAGGTCCCCCGGCTGAAATTGAACCGTCAGCTATTGTTCCTCCGATTTTTGATACTGTTGAGGCCGAGCCCGTTGCAATTTCTGATCCGTCCTCACTTGTTCACGAAGTCGGAGTGTCGAAGGCGACCGTGGAGGAGAAAATCACCACAACTACTACTCCACTTGGTACATCCTGTCTTCGATGTGTTTTATAGTTGGACTCACACCTTTAGAGTGTTTATTCATCTTTATCTTGTTTGCAGAATCATCTCCCAAGAGACTTGCTGACTTGAACCCAATGTCATCTAAGGTCTTAATTGAACAATCCTCTGATGTAGCAGGTCTGTTAACGAGTACCATTCTTGGACAAACTCCAGTGGTTATAGAACCCACCCCGGTATCAACAAGTCAGGGTAATCAAGTTGTTAAACTTGGGATACTCCCATTCATTGCTATGTATGCACATACGTATTTTGTATTGACTTTATCTGTTCTCATCGCAGCTCTTCCCTCATCATTGTCCGATCGTATCCAAGCTTTTATTGACTTTATCTGTTCTCATCGCAGCTCTTCCCTCATCATTGTCCGATCGTATCCAAGCTTTATTGGTAGATGAAGACCCGGGTTCTCATCGCAGCTCTTCCCTCATCATTGTCCGATCGTATCCAAGCTTTATTGGTAGATGAAGACCCGGACAAAGATGTCATTTACTCTTATCTTCAGGGTTTTATCTTCTTCTTGAATACTATTGTTGATCGAGTCATCCTCAAAGGATCTCCTTTTGAGAATTTTAAAAGATCTCTCGATCGTCATGTCTTGGGGATTAGAGAAGACAGATATGCTGAATTGGCCGATTTGATCGAAGCTTATTTAATTAACCTCGAACAAAATGTCGAATATTTGAGGGATCTTCGTACCAATGTCGTGTCTTCTTATATTGCTTCTCAGATGGATTTAAGACTACAGGCGTGGCGTGATTCTCAGAACTCAGCTGAATCTGAACTCCAAAAATTAAGGGCCTGTGTTAGTCAGATTAGGGTAAGTATCGCCAAGAAGGCACAAGCCAAGATTGACTTGCATCGGAATTTAGAATCGGGTCGAGCTGAGATAGCCTGCATGAAGGAGCAACTTATGAAGGCTGAAGATGCTCAAGAAGCCTGGAAGTCCGATTTGGAGGCATTAACCCGAGCCGAGTCGAACTTGTTTCAACAGCTGAATCTTCAAGACCAAATACTTGCTGAAAAGGAACAAGAGGTTATCAAACTTCAAAGTGTTGATGAAGGAAATTTTAAAGCTAGCTTGATAGCTGAGCTTGAACAGGCTTATACGATAGAGCTTTCAAAACTTGAAGATCAAATTCGTCATTATAAGCTGTTGTAATTTGAGAACATATATATATATATATATATATAATATATATATATATATTGTATTTTTATTTGAATGTTTTTGATGAATATAGTGAACTCTTTGCTCGTTGAAATTTTATTATGATTACTCATTCCTGTTTAGAATAAATAACCATAATATTTATAGGATTTTTGGCAAACCCCCAGCCTTCAACGGGTTTGATGTGCCTTTACCGACTACCGTTTAAATCGGGCTAGTATGTGAATTATCTAAATCCGTTTCACATATAACGTTAGGCTAAAAGAATTAAACTATCTTAGACTTTGAACTATAATATTGAATATGTAGGCTACATATGTTAGATGTAGGATTATCTCTAATAAGGGATAGAGATAATATCCCCCATGCGTGAACGACATGGATTTTGAAATGTAAGTAGGTTATATTTCCTAGGTAGAAAAATGAACCCAAGATTAGAAAGAAGGAATTGGATATTCTATCTCTCAATCTCTTGTTTGTTGGTAGAGATTAACCCAAAATCGGAAAGGAAGAATTTTATATTCTATCTCCTAGTCTCTTGTTTGTTAGTAGAGATGAACCCAAAATCGGAGAGGAAGAATTTTATATTCTATCTCCTGGTCTCTTGTTTGTTGGTAGAGATGAACCCAAAAAATTGGAGAGGAAGAATTTTATATTCTATCTACTGGTCTCTTGTTTGTTGGTAGAGATGAACCCAAAAAATCGGAGAGGAAGAATTTTATATTCTATCTTCTGGTCTCTTGTTTGTTGGTAGAGATGAACCCAAAATATCGGAGAGGAAGAATTTCATATTCTATCTCCTGGTGCAAAGGAAACTCAAAGTGGGATCTCCACTTAGAGAATCTGGACTGGTTTGAATAATTCTAACTGTCATAAGGTTTGATTATTCAACTTGAAAGTGGACCTTTCGTTCGTGGAATGAATCGAGGGGAGATTTTGGTTGTGGTCCTAACTGTAGTAAGGTTTGACCAAGTGGGATTTGAGATAATTTTATCTTTAATAGGCTAAATTGTTCAAATGGAATTGAGGCCCTTTCCTTTGTCGAAAAGGAATTTTAGTTTTAAAAGTGAACCTCTCGTTCATGAAAGGAATCAAGAGAGGATTTTGGCTTTGGTCCTAACTGTAGGAATGTTTGACCAAATGAGAAATGGGAGCGTAGTACGAGTAACGATGGAAATGTTGGCTTGCACCCATCACTCAGTGGGAGTTTTTGATATCAAACAAAAGGATTTGACATAAAAGGATTCGTTGATTGCTACGGATCAACAAATAGAACTTTTTGAATACTGTATCATAACTTCAACATTGGGAGTGTTAAAAAAAAATTAGATACGATGGGAGTTTGAAGGATTTTAATCTATGACGGATTTTAGTAGACCCACTGTCGATTAATCCGATCGGCAAGGGATTTTGTGGTGTGGGGTTACGAATTATCGAGTCCCCCAGTGATCGCATTGTGGGGGTTTTGTGAGGAAAGACCAACTGTATTTTGTCATTGAATCTCATCTCAACAAAATGTTTGGACAGTCCCAGTGGGAGGTTCTTAATCATCTTGAAAATAATTAAATAACCATTATTTTATAACAAATCACTCTCCATTAAAGAATAATCAACTGATCTCGAGTTATCCTAAAAATATCCTGTACTGGATTCTTTAGGAACTTCCCGTTTCAAATAGGTTATCCTGAACATACTAAGGGTAGTACTTCTTCAGGAACTTTCTATTTATCGGCATCATTAGTTTATTGCCAACCTGGGTGATCAGGCGATACACACTGTTTGAATAGACTGTTTCTATTACAAATGATCCTTCCTATTTGGGTTGAAATTTTCCTTTCTTCTTGGAAGTGAGAATCATGGGTCTCCGAACGGCAAGAACCAGCTCTCCTTCCTTAAAGCTTCGTCGTCGGACCTTTTTATCGAAAGCCCGAGAAATTCTAGCCTGATAAAACTCGATTTGTTGCTGAGCTTCTAAGCGCTTCTCATCTAACGTCTCTAATTCTTCGAAACGTTTTTGATGTTGTTCTTCTGTCGTTATTCCCGTTGCGAGCGCGATACGGAGAGAGGGAATTTGTATTTCTAAAGGGAGGACAGCTTCGCACCCATATATCAAAGAATATGGGGTCGTTCCAGTTGGCGTACAGACAGTTGTACGATAAGCCCACAAAGCTTCGACGAGTTTAGTCGGACCTTTTTATCGAAAGCCCGAGAAATTCTAGCCTGATAAAACTCGATTTGTTGCTGAGCTTCCAGACGCTTTTCATCTAACATCTCCAATTCCTCGAGACGTTTCTGGTGATGTTCTTCCGTCATCATTCCCGTTGAGAGAACGATGCGGAGAGAGGGAATTTGTATTTCTAAAGGAAGGACAACTTCACATCCATATGTTAAGGAATACGGGGTTGCTCCAGTTGGCGTACGGACAGTTGTACGATAAGCCCACAGAGCTTTACCAAGTTTATCATCCCAATCTCGCTTATTGACTTTCACAAGTTTTGCCAAAATCTTGATAATAGTCTTGTTAAAAGCTTCGGCTAATCCGTTAGCTGTGGGATTATAAGCAGTCGATGAAATATCCTCAATTCCAAATTTACCACAAAACTTGATAAATGCATTGCTGACGAATTGAGGACCATTGTTGTGTACTATTCACCTTGGGATACCATACCGATATATGATGTGGTGTTTAATGAATTTGATAACATTACTCGTCTTTACTTCTTTAAGTGGAACTGCTTCTGCCTATTTCGAGAAGTAATCGGTGATTGCCAGAATAAAATGGTCACATTTAACCGAATGTGGGAAAATAGGACCCACAATATCCATTCCCCAAGTTTCAAATGGCCACGACGTTGCTGATGGGTGCAAATGTTCCGGAGGCTGGTGCATATAATTTGCATGTATTTGACACACCTGGCATCGTCGGGCATAATCTACCACGTCTTTTACCATGGTAGGCCAATAGTATCCCATCCTTCTAAGTCGATCACAGAGTTTGGGGCCGGGCTGATGTGCACCACATGTACCATCGTGCTCTTCTTTGAGTGCTTCTTCCGCTTCTCTATTAGATAGACAACGGAGTAATAAACCATCATATGAACGTCGATACAATATTTGTGTCGTAGCGTTGTAATAAAATCTTGATGCTCTGCGCCGAACCAAATCCCTTTCTTTTACGTCTTCAGGTAAAATATCATGTAAGACATAATCGATGATAGGAAAACGCCAATCTCAAACTTCATGTTTAACTCTCGTTGAGTGTGCTTCTTTGGCAATCGAATCGTAGATTGGAACAATAAGCTGGTGAGTTCTCACCGTAATTAATTGTTCTGTTTCGGGAGGCTGAGCCAAAGATACCGACAATGCTGCCAATGCGTCTGCATATGCATTTTGGAGACGTGGAACGTACTCGATAAAAAATTCTTCAAACGAATTTGCCATCTCGATGGCTACCTGGTGATATGGAATTAGATCTTGATTTCTGACTTCATACTCTCCTCGTATCTGATTAACTACTAATTGAGAATTACCAAAAGCTTTAAGGTATTCGACCCCCAACTCTTTGGCAAAATTAAGTCAAATTATTAATGCATTATACTCGGCCACGTTATTAGAGCATGGTTCAGTCAACGAGTATGCTCTAGGCAAGACATGATTTTCCGGGGAAACTAAAACGACCCCCACTCCCGAGGAAATTTTAGAACATCCGGGTGCGCTCGCCATGTTAGTTGCTCGGGAAGCCCCATCGAAGTATAATTGCCACACTTGTTGATGTGACGTAGTATTAACTTCGTGAGTTTCATCCGACAGATCGTCGTATAACTCGGCTATATCTTTTGTAGGGTTTACCGCCAAAAGACCACAAATAGCTTGTCCCTTAACTAATTTTTACTGTTTGAAATGCAAATTGTATTGGGATATGAGTAAGGCCCACCTAGCTAAACGCCAATTCATAGAGGCTGGTTGGATCATGAATACTCGAATTGGGTTTACGTTAGAAATGACATAAATTGTCTGTCCAACTAAATAATGTCATATTTTTTGGATTGCGAATACCAGGGCAAGACATTCTTTCTCGATCATCGGATAACGAGATTCGGCTCCTACCAATGTACGACTTAGATAATACACATCTTGTTCGTGACCATTATCATCGTCTTGTGAAAATAACCCACTTAACGAATGGCTCGTCGTTTTGATGTAAATCAAAAGCGATCTTCCCGATTT